GTGCTGAGTGCATTATATGCAGTAATCACAATTAATCGTCCAAACTACAATGTGAAATGAACATCCTCATTTTCAAAATAAGCAAACTGAGACACACAGTCATAGAGATCATTAGTTGTGCAGCCAGATTAAGAATCTATAATTTTCTTTCTCTAGAGACTTTGATTTTATTTACCTACTACAATTTCCTTTATTTCATACATTAAACTATGGAAAGTAAAACCCAATAAATGAAAAACTTTGGGAATACACCAACTCCCCACTGTTTATGCAGCACTGTGCATCTCTTGCTGCCACAAGTCATGTAACAAATTCATTTTCCAAGTTCAGAGCATGTGAATCTGGTTGTTTTTAATTAGAAAAATTGCAGGTAGTATCATGGCGCGGTGGCTCAAGCCTGTAATCCCAGCACTTTGGGAGGCCGAGACAGGCGGATCACGAGGTCAGGAGATCGAGACCATCCTAGCTAACACGGTGAAACCCCATCTCTACTAAAAAAAAATACAAAAAACTAGCCGGGCGAGGTGGCGGGCGCCTGTAGTCCCAGCTACTCGGGAGTCTGAGGCAGGAGAATGGCGTGAACCCGGGAGGCGGAGCTTGCAGTGAGCTGAGATCCGGCCACTGCACTCCAGCCTGGGCGACAGAGTGAGACTACGTCTCAAAAACAAACAAAACAAAAAAAAAAAAAAAAAAAAAACTTCTGTTTAAGATTTAAGAATTATAAATTTCAGCTTGAAGTGCCCTGGAAGAAAATTAAAGCTGCAATTTTCTAAGCCAGGAAGTTCAAATGATCCCTTCAGAATTATTAAAGACTTGTTTTTATAAAGCTACAAACACCATTTTTTTTTGTATCTGGTCTAATTTTTTTTTCACAAGTGCAATCTCAGGGCAGTTCTGACAGTATTTCTATCTCATTGTATAAATGAGGAAAATAATGAAAATAATGGCTTAATCTCTTTTTCTTCAGTCAAGGAAGGACGTGACAAAAGTCTCAAAAGAGTCATCCTGTAAGGAGAAATAATTCAAATGAGTCTGAAAATTTCACAGAAACTGTTTTCGTAACAGTCAAACAATTTAACTTCCACATTGGAAAATTGCCAACAATGTGTTCTGCATATATATTCTGCTCTAACCCAGACATTTGTGGAAGTTTTTAAAAAGTTCCTTAAAAATTTCAGCAATTAGATCTGCTGTAAATCCAGTTATATTTGTGTAGGTGGTTGGATAAAGTCCTGGAAGGCAATTGGGTGGACCAGTGTTTGAAACTCAAGCTGTCCTATATTCTTGTAACTATCCAGAGGGACACAATGTGACAATACCATTCATATTATTCACTCCATTGATGTAGCAAACTTATTTATTTGCATTAATTTAAGATAATTTCTACTTTTGAGAAACAATGTCAGACTAATAACTTCTTAATATATATGGTCATTTGATCATTTAGGAAAAGAAAAAAGCATCGAGGCCAGTGTTGATATGAGGCAAGTCAGTTCCTCTAGGGAATATTCATCTCCTCTAGTAGAATTAATCAGAAGGAATGAAAAGGGACTTCTAAGTCCAGAAACATTTTCTCCTTGACCTCAACATTTAGGCCTTCAAACAGACTCCCAGTTACATCCAACTGAGGTGGTGACATCTGTCCTCCAGAAACATACGAAATAATTAAATCTCTTTATCTGTGAATTATTCAGTGCCTTTCAGGATGTAATGGTCAATAAGTAAAACTCTCCACCCTTCATCCAGTGACACAGGATTGTCTGCACATTTTAGAAACTAGTGAATAACTGTGTTACTCATTATTACTGATTGTGCTTCTGCTCGGATCCTCCAGGAATCTTTTTATTCAAATTTCAATATAAACTTCCTTTGAGAGTAGAGATGGGAGTAGAGGAGGGAAGCATTATATGATACAGATTTCATTTTGTGCTATAGTTTCATATAAGAGCATCTTGAATTCACTCAGTTCTCGATGTCATTTATACTATGGGCAAGGTATGATTCCAGTCCCTATGGACAAAACTCTAAGCAAAAATAGAAGATTTTCTCATAGAGCTAACCAGCTACTTTTGGCCATACTTATTTTAGAGTTTGTGAGTTCTGTTGTACTTCAAGTATTAATAAATATAATAAGAATCAAAACATTTAGATATTCATCGTGGTTTTACCAGTAAATATTTGTTTACATTATTTTCCCCAAATCTCTTAACTTTTCCATATCGAGATGTTCAGAATATACAAAAAATATTCTTGATATGGTTTGGCTCTATGTCCCCCCACAAATCTCATCTTGTATCTCTCATAATTCCCATGCATTGTGGGAGGGACCCAGTGAGAGATTATTGAATCATGGGGTGGGTCTTTCCTGTGCTGTTCTTGTGATAGTGAAATGCCTCATGAGATCTGATGGTTTTAAAAATGGAAGTTTCTCTGCACAAGCTCTGTCTTTGCCTGCTGCCATCCATGTAATATGTGATTGCTTCTCTTTGCCTTCTGCTGTGATTATGAGGCCTCCCTAGCCCTGTGGAACTGTAAGTCCAATAAACCTCTTTCTTATGTAAATTGGCCAATCTCAGGTATGTCTTTATTAGCAGCATGAAAACTGACTAATACAGTAAAGTGGTACCAGGAGTGGGGTGTTGCTGAAAAGATACCCAAAAATGTTGAAGCAACTTTGGAACTGGGTAACAGGCAGAGGTTGGAATCGTTTAGAGGGCTCAAAAGAAGACAGGAAAATATGGGAAAGTTTGGAACTTCCTAGAGACTTGTTGAATGGTTTTGACCAAAATGCCAATAGTGATATAGACAATGAAATCCAGGCTGAGGTGGATCTTAAATGGAGATGAGGAACTTGTTGGGAACTGGAACAAAGGTGACTCTTGTTATGTTTCAGCAAAGAGATTGGGCACATTTTGCCCCTGCTTTAGACATTTGTGGAACTTTGAACTTGAGAGGGCTGATTTAGGGTATCCAGTGGAAGAAATTTTTATGAAGCAAAGCATTCAAGAGGTGACTTGGGTGCTGTTAAAGGCATTCAGTTTCAAAGGAGAAACAGAGCATAAAATGTTGGAAAATTTGCAGACTGACATTCCAATAGAAAAGAAAAACCCATTTTCTGAGAAGAAATTCAAGCCAACTACATAAATTTGGATAAGTAACAAGGAGCTGAATGTTAACCACCAAGAACATGCGGAAAATGTCTCCAGGGCATGTCAGAGACCTTTGCGGCAGCCCTTGGCATTACAGGCCCAGAGTGCTATCCAGGAAAAGTGGTTTCATGGGCTGGGCCCAGGGTCTCTGTGCTGTGTACAGCCTAGGGACTTCGAGCCCTGTATCCAAGCCACTCTAGCCATGGCTAAAAGAGACCAACACAGAGCTCAGTCTGTGGATTCAGAACATGCAAGCCTCAAATCTTGGCAGCTTCTATGTGGTATTGAGCCTGCAGAGTGCACAGAAGTCAAGAATTGAAATTTGGGAACCTCTGCCTAGATTTCAGAAGATGCATGGAAATGCCTAGATGCCAAGGCAGAAGTTTGCTGTAGGGGCAGGGTCCTCATGCAAAACCTCTATTAGGGCAGTGCAGAAGGGAAATATGGGATGGGAGCCTCCACACAGAGTCCCTCTTGGGCACTTCCTAGTGGAGCTGTGAGAAGACAGCCACAGTCTTCCAGACCCCAGAATGGTAGATCCACCAACAGCTTGCACCATGCACCTGGAAAAGCCACAGGCACTCAATGTCAGCCAATGAAGGCAATGGGGAGGAGAGTTGTACCCTGCAAACGCACAGGGGCAGGGCTGCCCAAGACTATGGGAACCTACCTCTTGCATCAGTGTGACCTGGATGTAAGACAGGGAATCAAAGGAGATCATTTTGGAGTTTCAAGGTTTGACTGCCCTGCTGGATTTCAGACTTGCATGGGACCTGTAGCCCCTTTGTTTTGGCCAATTTCTCCAAATTGGAATGGCTGTATTTACCCAATGCCTGTACACCCATTGTGTCTAGGAAATAACTAACTTTCTTTTGATTTTACAGGCTCATAGGCAGAAGGGACTTGCCTTGTCTTGGATGAGGCTTTGGACTGTGGACCTTTGAATTAATGCTGGAATGAGTTGAGACTTTAGGGGACTATTGGGAAGGCATGATTGGTTTTGAAATGTGAAGATACGAGATTTTGCAGGTGCCAGGGTCAGAACGATGTGGTTTGGCTCTGTGTGCCCACCCAAATCTCATCTCATAACTTCCATAATCCCCATGTTTTGTGGGAGGGACCCAGTGAGAGATGACTGAGTCATGGGGGCAGGTCTTTCTCCTGCTGTTCTAATGACAGTGAATTGGTTTCATGAGATCTGATGGTTTTAAAAACGGAAGTTTCTCTGCATAAGCTCTCTCTTTGCCTGCTGCTATCCACATAAGATGTGACTTGCTCCTCTGCCTTCCACCATGATTGTGAGGCTTCCCTAGCCATGTGGAACTTTAAGTCCAATGTGCATCTTTCTTTTGTAAATTGCCCAGTCTCAGGCGTGTCTTTATTAGCAGTGTGAAAACTGACTAATATGACTATCAAGCACTATTTTTTTATGATTGGAAGTATGTTTGAGTTTTAACAATATTTGAAGTTTTTGTAACATAACAAACTGCATGCTAATTTAAAAATTATATATTTCGTGCTTTCTATTAAGGATGATCTCTGATACTATGAAGATTGTAAAATGATATAGCTCCTATTTGGGATACAGTCTGTAAATAAAAAGCATCAATTACTAGGATATATGGTTACTTTATATAATTATTTAAATGAATGTAATAAGTTATTTACATTGGCATAAAAGTTTTATTCCAAATATTTCTAATGTTTCTTGAACTGCACATTGAAACAAAATACTACTATCAAAAGATGAGAGAATAATTTGGAAGTACTTACAATGAGAGATTCTAGATAGAAAAATACATTACAAAAAAATTAGATATACAAAACTATTAAATGTCAACAAAACACTCAAGAGGTTATTGTGGCTACAGAATGTTTGGTGAAAATTGTCTAGACCAGTGCTTCTCAAACTTTAGCATATTTAAGAAACTTTAGAGGTGAAGTTTGGCAATCTGTTAAAATGTACACTAGTTTAAAACTAATGATTCATGTTGAATTTTCTCTTCTCTGAATTGATTTCCTCAAGTCATTTAGTACACAGAATTTTCTCTCCTAAAATCCGGACTCATTAAACCAGGGTGTAAATCTGCAAGCTGTCTTGTATAGCTAAAACAGGCATCCCAAATTTAACATTTCCAAATACTAGACACATGATTTCCTCACCCAAACCAGCCCCTGTTTCCTGCCTGTTATATTTCAATAATAACCATCTGATTGACAACTCTTTTAGTCTAATCTCTTTGAGTCATCTTTCACTTATTTCTGCAAATCGATGTAAGAGAAAATACCAATGGCTCTAACTTATAAATATATCTACAGTTTGATTTATACTCAAAAGCTGGACCACTATTCTATGAAACCAAACAACCATCATCTCTCAACTGGACTACTGCAGAAACCTTCTAATTGGTGTCCTATCTTTCACCTTTGTTCTGGTTAGTTATTTGACTATCCCAGAGTAAAAGAAATATTTTTAGATGTAAGTCACATTATTTATCTTCTTTCTTTACCCAAATTTGCAATGGTTTCCCATTTCACTTAGAATGAAAACTAAATAAGTCACCATGGCCAACATGGTACTGCAAGATCTGGCTTCCTTTAACCAGTAAGAAATTCTCTTGTATCAGTCTCATCTTACTCGTTCCAGACTTGCAAAAGAGAAGCCTTTGATATTCTTTATAGACAATAATGATTCTTCTTTCAGAACCTCTCTGTCTATTCTTCTGCCTATGATGGAATTCCACCTTAAATATCTGTGGCTGTTTCTCATGGTATGGTTAGATAGCATACTCAGTGATACTTTATCAGAAAGAATTTTCCAGAACATCGATACAAAACAGCACCCCCATCCATATATATACATTTTGGCTTTATGTTTCTTTATTAACAGTAGCTGATCTGTTTTATATACATTAATTTATTTGAACATCGATACAAAACAGCACCCCCATCCATATATATACATTTTGGCTTTATGTTTCTTTATTAACAGTAGCTGATCTGTTTTATATACATTAATTTATTTGTTTATTTTCCTTTCCCCCAAGTTGAAGTAAGATCCAGGAAAGTAGGGTTTTTGTTTTCCTTTTTTTTTTTCTTATGGTTGTTTCTCTTTGTTGGAACTCAAGAATATTAAAGAGAGTCTGAAACAAGTCATTGCTTGTTATGAGTTGAATTTTGTAACCCCCAAAAATGAGTAGGTTGAATTATTAGGCCCCAGGACCATAGAATGTGATGTTGTTTAGAGATAAGGTCTTTAGAGCAGTAATCAAGTTAAAATGAGGCTATTAGATCAGGCTTAATCTAATATGCCTAATGTCCTTATAAAAAGGGAGAATGTGAACAAAGAGTTGTGCATAGGAACAGATGATATAAGAGACGTAAGGAGAAGAGAGCTACCTACAAGTTGAGAAGAGAGGGCTTGAGACAGATTCTTCCCTCGAAGTCTTCAGCAGGAACCGATTCTGCTGTCTCCTTCATTTTGGACTTCTATTCACTAAAACCATGAGACAATAAATTTTTGTAATGTAAACCACCCATTGTATGGTAGTTTATTGCAGTAGCACTAGCAAACTAATACATTGTTCAATACGTACCTATTTGTTGAATAAATTGAATGAGAAAATATTCCAAAACCAGGTATATCAAATGAAATGGATGCCTCCCCAGCTTTCTTATAACTCATGTCACCTCCACAATTATTTAGTAAATACTGCAACTATGCATAAGTCCTTCCAGCAAAACAGGTAAAAATTATAAAGAAATCAGAATAGTGCATATGTACTGATACTACCAAAAAAAAGAAAAAAAAGAAAGAAAACAGGAAAAGAAACACAAACATACTTGCAGATGAAAATGAAAATCATGAAAATTATGTAATGAAACAGAAGAAAATTTTAACACAGCACTTATCCATGAGCTTAACAGTGTTGAAGAAGATACCGAGCTTTTGAAAACAAGAGCTTGGATACACAAGAAATATTGTCTTAAAAAATAGAATAAAAAACGGCAGCACTCAGGAAAGGAAAACTAAAAAAAATTATAAAAATGAAAGCTGCACTGGAGAATTTAAAAAGTTAAATAGGAATTGCTGAAAGTAGGGAGGAGTATGATTAGAAAACTTAGTCAACTTAAATACATCTCAATTAAAATGAAATCATTTTAAAGCAAAAAAAAGAAAAAAAAAAAGGAAACTGTGAACATCTCCATAATCGTTTCTCTTGAATTAAATACTGTAAGGATGAAGCACATGAAACAGAAATATAGTTTTAAAGACAGGATGCCCTGTTAATAAAAACATACTATCTGAGGGCATGACAGAGCTGAGGGATTAAAAAATAGCTAGCAGCTGGTCACTGTGGCTCACACCTGTAATCCCAGCACTTTAGAAGGCCAAAGTGGGAAGATCACTTGAGCCCAGGAGTTTGAGACCATCCTGGGCAACATAGAGAGATCCTTGTCTTTACAAAAGTTAAACAATTAGTCGGGTGGTGACATGCACCTGTAGTCCCAACCATTTGGGATTCTGAGGTGGGACAATCATTTGAGCCCAGGAGTTTGAGGCTATAGTGAGCTTTGATGGCAACACCACACTGCAGCCTGGGAGACAGAGCAAGACCCCATCACTAAAAGCTAATCAAATAAATACAAATAAAATAATTAACACCAAGTTGTATTTTAGTGAAGTTACTGAATAATGGAGAAGAAGGTGAGAAATGACACAATGGGTCAGATATGCACCCTCCCCTAAAAAGTCACCTAAACAAACAAACAAAAAATGATTGGCTTAAAATTGTACCATGCAAAGTTAAGTGCTAGAATACTATGGATCAGTATCTACAAAGCCACATGAAGTAGATTCTTTAAAACTGAAACATCCAAAGATTCTTTAATCTGGCCATATTTCTTGGCGTATCAATGTGCACCCGATAAATGTATAGTAATTAAATGTTCTTAGCAAAACAATTGCTTGAAGTTTAAATCCAGCCAATAAAATAAAAATAGAAAGCTTAGTTGTTTGTTGTAATGGATTAAAAAAATGACATAGCACAGGTGGTAAGCATTAGTATAGATCAAAGGCAGAGTTTTCAGTCTTGCTATGCAACACAATCACCTGAATATCTGAGATTGTAAACACTCCTGGCATAATTCCAATATGCTGCCAAGGTTGACAACTACTCAAACTTTTAGCACCTCTGGGTATTACATACTATAGCACACAGTTAGGTGTGTTATATCAAACAATATTGTTTAATACACATTAAATACATAAATATTGTTTAATACACATTTAATAAACAATATTGTTTAATACACATTACACATCTAAATGTGTGTGATCTTGGTAATGTGTAAAAAATAGTATGTAAAACAAAAATCATATAAAGGAAAGAAAAAAAGAATTTGTGCGAAAGTGTTGAATGGTCATTATGTTTAGATGGTTTTCACTTCATGGTGCTGAAAATGAATACACAATATTTACAGGCACTTCTCAGCACTGACTCTCAAATGTGGCTGTATATTGAATTACTTGGGCTTCAAAAATTCCTGGTATCTGTACCTTGCTCTATAAGATTCTGAATTAATCATTTTGTGGCACAGCTTAGATATCAGCATTTGAAAGCTCTCTTTAATTTACACATGTGAAGTCATAGATTTGATAGCAATGACTACTAAAATTGGTATGCATTTCAAGCAAATGTTGGGAGAAATGGGTAGATTCCCCAAACTCAAAACTTAATGCTCATAAAATTGATTTCTAAATAGATCATCACTTCAGATGTAAATAGTGAGAGTATTAAAATATTAAATTAAGATTTGGGGTTTTCCTACATACATTCTTGCATATGACAAGACAATCTGAGCAAAACAACTATATATATATATATATATTCATACAACAATGAATTTAGTACATAAAATAAAATATTCTGCAAAATAATGGAAAAGATAAATGACAACATGAAAACAATTATCAGTATCCATTTTATATGAATGTTTACAAATAATGAACCCTAAAAACTATAAAAATGAAATCAATAAATTTATTTTATAATGTATTCATGGCATACAGGCATTTGAAAATATGTTCAACCAGTACAACAAGCCAGATAAGCCTAATTAGTATGCCAGTTGGTATGTCTTTTCACGTTACCTTTAGATGATAGGTTTTGTTGAGAGGGAGGTGATAAGATTTGGTTTACTATTAAGATTCAGGATCCTTTAGAAAATTATGATCTTTGAATAGGATTAGGTTATTATGCAAAAATAACACTAAAACTCTTTCAGGCACAACACTTTAAATGCTGTGACTATGCAAAATTAATTGATTAATTTATTTATATATTCCTGAGCTACATTTATCTTCCACAGCATCATGTAGTAAGTATATTGTTAGATTAAAAAATTAGGAATAATCTATCCAGTCCTTTGAAAGTATAATAATACTCTGTCCCTGGAAGGTCACCATCCCATCTCTTCAACGTCAAATGGAATTATCCATATAAAGAAATGACGTTTTTTAATAGTGTAAAAGATAAATTCAATATATTTTATGAAATTAATCACAAATAATGTCAGTTGGCAAAGCATAATCCTAAATTACATTACCATCCCTACCACATTTTGAGTTTGTAGAAGTTTAACTTGAGAGGGAAATTTTTATTTCAATAAATATGTATAAAATTTCAGTACATATCTATGACTCTCAATAGAAGTTGGTTTAGAAAAAAATACCAATAATATTTTGATCATACATAATTCATTCCTCTACATGTATAATTTTTAAGAAAATCCTTCTTCCTTCTCAGGGTCACATCATAAAATTATTATGGTTCCTTTTGGGCAGATATCTTAGTTCAATTCCAGTGGGTAAATTAAAAATGAACTCCTACAAAGTTTATTTTATCATTTTCCCTTAATACTAGAGTTTTATCTACTTATTGGCATTCAGATATATAATATAAATGTATAACACAGAAGGCAAGATCTCAAATAACAAAATGAAATTGATATTTAGTTTCAATTCTCTATCAAATATGTAAAAGTTGATGCACAATAGAGGAAGTACGGCAGAAAATTTTCTTTGTTTATTTCATATAAGTAACTTATCTTCTCCATTGGAGTAAAAAAAAAAAACTTTACAGAAAACATACATACTGAACAGGCAGGATAAAAAGATTATCAGCAGTAAATCTGGTATCTATCTATCTGTCTATCTATCTCTATTATTTTCCATACTACTACCTACCTATCTGCATATTTTCTTCACATTATAATAAGAGAGCTTACATTCTGTTTTGGAGGTATTTCTAAAGTAGGGAAAGAGAAGTGAAAGAATAGAAATTTTGTTTAATTTGATAGATTTTATTATTCTTACATTTAGTCAATTTACTAAATCAATAGTTTCAATATTTGGTTAATTTTCTTAGATAGACAAAGTACATAATTATATACACAAATGCTCATGTACACATATACACCCCATATCCTAATATAAAATGTTGAATTACATCAACTTTTATCTAGGCATTTACTGAGATGTTCATTAGCTAAGGACATTTATTCAGCTCTTATGTTCAGTATGGAATTTCCACTCAACTTCCTCTAAAGGAATATTGATGAGTGATTATTTTCGGCTTCATTGTTTCCCTTCCTTATTTTTCTGCAAGACACGAGGAAGCAATATTTTGAGTGGTGATTTTGAGAAGATAAATTGAACATGCTCAGATTTTCCTTTTTTCTCACTCTTTGTGTGAGCCAAGAAAAAGGAGAAGGGGAAGGAAAGAAAAAGAGATATGAAACACAGAGAAGGAAGAGAAGCATGAGAAGGAAGTAAAGGATGGAACAGAAGAATGAGGGAGAATAGGAGACAGAGCATTCACACACATAGCACATATAGCTCAACAGACACTATCCTAAATGCCTTACATATATTATCTAATTTAATGCACACACCAATTGTCATGGACTATTATTATTCTCATCTGTAAATAAGAAAACTGATGCACAAAAGGATATAGTGTTTATACAGCTAGTAAGTGATAAAGCCGAGCTGATTACCTGCAGAGTTCGACTCAAGAATTACATCTAAGTGTTAATAATTCCTTTAATTGTCACAATTACCTAAATTTTATGAGTTCATGAGTTCATTCTGTTTTTCGTTAATAAATGTATACATACTTTTTTTGATGTACTTGTAGTTTTTAACCTTCTCACTTCCATCACATGTGTTAAAATTATCTTTAGGTCTAGAACCATGGTTCATGCCTGTAATTCCAGCACTTGCAGAGGCTGAGATGGGAGGATTGCTTGATGCCAGGAATTCACAACCAACCTGAGCAACATAACAAGACCTCATCTCTATAAAAAATAAATTAGCCAGGCATGTTGATGTGTGCTTGGCCTATAGTCTCAGCTGCTCAAGATGCTGAGACAGGAGGGTAATTTGAGCCTGCAGTCAGCTTTGGTTGAGCCACTGCAGTCCATCCTGGGCAA